TTAAAGGGGCCCTGGCCTTCCCTGGTGGCGCAGTGGTTGAGAATCTGCCTGCCAATGCAGGGGACACGGGTTCGAGCCCTGGTCTGGGAAGATCCCACATGCCACGGAACAACTAGGCCCGTGAACCACAACTACTGAGCCTGAGCGTCCGGAGCCTGTGCTCTGCAACAAGAGAGGCCGCGATAGTGAGAGGCCCGCGCACCGCGATGAAGAGTGGCCCCCACTTGCCACAACTAGAGAAAGCCCTCGCACAGAAACGAAGACCCAACACAGCAAAAATAAATTAATTAATTAATAAAAACTCCTACCCCCAACATCTTAAAAAAATTAAAAAAATAAAAATTAAAGGGGCCCTGAAGCCCGATTACGGTAGGGAGGATGCTGCCTCTTTAAACCAGAGAATCTGACTCTGCTCAAGGGATATTTGCGATCGCCTCCAGCCTCCCCCCGGGCTAAAAAATTATATCCTTTCTCTCTTTGCTAAATTACCACATCCTCAGATTGGTGCTGAGGGGGTCCCTACCGGAAAACCCAAGTGTCAATCCTCTTTGCAAACTCTGAGCCCGTAATTGGTTTGGAAATACTGAGTGAATAGCTCAAAAGGCTTCAGGGGGATTAATGTCAAATACTGAGTCCCCTTGATGGCATGGGGAGTGCTGTGTGGGCATAGGTGGTGGCAGGCACTGTTAACGTCAGCCCATGGCACAGAAACATCATTAGGATTCAGATTCAGGCACATGGCTTCCAAGCTCCAAACTAGCCTGTGGAGCCAAAGGATGCTGCAGGCATCTTCCAGCCACACCCTCTCCTTTCCTTGGAGGGCCTGGAACAGAGCCAGGGGCTGGGACTCTCTTGGTGCCAGAGCAGGCCACACCCACACCTGCCTCTGAGTGGCATTGGGCAGGAATTTCCTTTGCCCAAAGATTATTCCCTGAACAGAGTGGCTGTAAGCAACTCAAGGGCAAGGTCCTTTCTATTCTTCCTCCTTGAGCAGGGTCCACACATGCTGGAGAAGAACGGTCGTTCATGTCAGAGACAAATCACGTAACCGTTCAGAGCCTTGGTTTGTAAAATGAGAAGAATGCTTCCGGTGAGTCATTATGAAGATGAGATGTTTCCTTAGACCTTCCCCCAAATCACCCAACCGTAGCAGACCGTATCCTATAATAGATTCTTCCTAACGTCCTGCACTCAGTCGTCTCATGATTCCCCAGGGTCTGTGATCTCTCTCTGCAGCAAGTAATAAATCCAATTTGTTCAGCTGCAAGTATATTCCTGGTGGTCTTTAGCTGGAGGACATTGACCCTAGCTACATTTCAAGTGTTCAATAATCACGTGTGGCTAGTGGCTACCATGTTGGACAGCACAGATGTAGAACAATTCCATCACTGTAGAAAGTGCTATCGGGCAGTGCAAGTTGACACTATGTGATTCCAAATCTCAGCTCTGCAGGTAACCCCCGCACCTAGAGCCCGTGCTCCGCAACAAGAGAAGCCACCGCAGTGAGAAGCCCGTGCACCGCAACGAAGAGTAGCCCCCACTCGCCGCAACTAAAGAAAAACCCACGCGCAGCAACGAAGACCCAGTGCAGCCAAAAATAAATAAATTTATATATAAAAAAAAAAGATTGTGTCTTCCTCCTCGTCCTCTTCTTGAATCACTCACTCTGGGGGAGGTTGGCCACCAGGTTGTGAGGACACTGAAGCAGCCCTGTGGAGAGGTCCACATGGCGAGGAACTGAGGCCTTCAACCGACAGCTGTGTGATCTTAGGAGCAGCTCCTTCTGCCCCAGTTAAAGCTTTCGATGACTGCAGCCTTGGCTGACACCTTAACCACAACCTCATGAAAAACCCCAGGCCAGGACCACTCAGCTAAGCTGCTCTCAGATTCCTGACCCCCAGAAACTGTGTGAGATAATAAACATTTGTTCTTTTAAGCCACTGAGGTTTGGAGTAATTTGTTACACAGCAATAGATAACTAATACACATGGCCTATGGTAGTGCTTAATTCATGCTAGCCGTTCTAGCCAACTGGCCATAAAGTTGGCCTCCAGGGAAAGAGCCCAGGTCTGCTGGTTCAAGCAGTATGGTTTGCCCAATCCTCCTTCTTCTAATTATAAATGAAGAAATTGCTCCTTGGGCTTTGGACGTCAATCTGTGAGTATGGTCAGTACAGCCATTCCAAGCGTGGTCTTCGGACTCAAAACATGTCAAGAAATGAGTGGATGCTGGGAAGTTGGGGATCTGGGTGTCCAGGGCCAGCCCTTGGGTCCAGCGCATTTTGGGAGGTGCCTTACAGCCCCAGAGGGCCTTTTTAGCAGGACTTCAGTGTCATCCTGTGTCCACACTTCAGCCCTGAGCCTGTAGGAGGCTACCCAGGGGCCTGTGAGTGAATTCACACTTTGCAAGGAAAGGTGCTACGAGGCTGGAAGGGGAGAGGGAGGTCCAGCGCTCCCCAGCTTTGGCACCAGCCCTTCCTTAGCTCTGTCCTCCCAGAATTTCACTCATCCCAGGCCAGGCCTCATCATCTCGGTGCCCCCCACCCCACTACCGGGGACACCGCCAAGTCCCAAGCAGATAAACAGAGACGGTGTGTCCCACCCCATACCACTCAGGGATCTCAATGGCTCAGAATAGGCAGAATTCCCCAGAACCCCTCACTGCCCCACTGAGCAAAGACAGTGGAGAGAAGAAGGGGCACCTCCAAAAGTAAGAAGACAGATGGGACCCGTGTGGCCCTCTGCCCGTAATTCTTGGAGAACCATAGTGTATCGTTTCATAACTGCGTGTGAGCATCCCCGGCCGGGGAGGGAGGGTGATCCTGCCAGCAAACACTTAACAAATTGGCCTCAAATGCCCCATTCCTCGCTCTCAGACCTCCAGACGCCCGGAGAGAGTAAGGAGGGGGAAGCCGAGAACATAGGTAAGCAAAGTAATTGAAGGTTGAACTCGGCACTCAAAGGAAGAGGCCGGAAGAGACCGTCCTCTTGGGTGAGTGCACATTCTAGAGGCTGCCACCTCCTCCATGGGGCCTTCCTCCCCTGATGGCTACACAAAGCAGAGGGCCCCCTCTTTTTCGAGTAAGTGAAAGTAAGCCGTCTACACCGGGGTGAACAATATATATTTATGAGATGTTGCCAGCTGCTTCTGTTTTCACATGTGTTTGTTAATGAAAGGTAACCTAAGGTCAGGTTATTATGTAAATAACTGCTGGGGGGGTGGAGGTGACCACTCCGCCCATGAGGCATCTCTCGGCAGCTTTCAGGAGGCACTAATGAATATTGGATCTTGTCACTTTACTGAGCAGAAGGACGGAAAGGACAGGCTCAGCTCCACCTGGGCTCCAACCAGCCACCTCTCCCTCCACTCCCGCAGGGCCAAAGTGAATTCAAATTCTCCTGCATCCTCTTCCCTGCTCTGCCAGACTCCCGCATCCCCACGCAGACAGAGTGGGACAGACGGGCCACGCTGGCTGCGGGCCCTTCTGGCTGTTGGCGGTTTGCAGTGTGGAAATCACAAACCATCTCCACTGCCTGGACCCTGAAACCATCACCCTAGGCCTCCCCAGAAAACAGAAGGAAAAAGCTTGGCCAAGGAGCAGTGTCATCCAGGGTCCCAGGTGGGAGGCTGAACACAAGGTGGCAGACAGAGGTGATGGGGGCGGGAGGCGGGGGAGGTGAAGCCCTCAGTGCCCACCGGAAGCCGGACCCAGCGTCAGGGGTGGTGGGGCCCTGGACACCCCAAGAAGGGACAGCCAGTCCCTTTGCAGGGAAGTCCTGCAGGCAGGAGCAGCGAAGCACCGCCAGGCCACGGGGAGGGCCATCCGTGCCTGTCTTCGGGGACGGAGACACAGGAGCTGGGTGGCCAGGAGAGGCTGCGCGGAGCAGACCGGCGTGTCGGGGAGGTCGGTCCGCTCTTCTCTGAGGGCTCCTGGCATCTCCCGGCAGGCTGGAGGGAATGAGGCTGGCTGGTATTTTTCCAGCCTTCGAGCTGCAGAGGCAGCCGGTACTGATGGCCGAGGGGCCGCCCTGCCCTGCCCTCCCCTTGCACTGTCTGTGCCAAGCTCATACAGGGCTCTGGGTGATGGAGTGGTACCACTGGGGTGTCTCTGCAAACGAGATACTGCAACCTCCCTGGGTAAATAAAAGCCAAATGTAAATAATGTGCCTGTGTGGCACTCCAGCTCTGCCTTTGACTAGAGGGAACACACTGAAATGGTTGATTAAAGATAAATAAAATTGGGCTATTCTAGCTGCTCCAAACAGACAGGCAGGGCTCCCCTCTCTCTGTGTGGCTGAGATAAAGCCCCAGCGCACTGGGAGCTCTGGGCAGTGTGGGGAGGGGAGTGCTGACTGCAGCTGGCTTCGTGGTTACCCGCGTGATTTACACCACATGCAGGCCTGGAGCAGACAGAGACATTTTTAACCGGTAATTGTCATGTATATGGAGTCCTCAGGTGTCGAAGAACTATCTCTCCAGAGCAAGGTGGGTGTTCTCGTCAGACGGGATGGCAGGAGACAGGTAATCCGGGGTGGCTTACAGGGGCCACCCTGGGAGACTAGGGGGTCAGGGACACAAATGAGGCCAGCCTGGCCTTCCTCTGTCCCTTCTTGGACAAACACACCTTCCCCACTCCACCCTCCACCCCAGCCTCCAAGACGGGAAGCCCCTCCACTGCCGCTTTCTCCAAAGCTGGTGGGAGGGCACCTCACCTTTTCTGAACAGGTGCCTGGCTCTCCTGTGTGGCTAACTCACCAATGGGATGGAGACACCCAAAGGAAGCAGCTTCCCTCTTGTGTAATAACAATGTGATGATAAAACAAGACTAACGACTGACATTTGTCGACTTCCCCGTATTGCCACATTTAACCCTCGCCACCGCCCTTAACTCAGGCTCTGTGGGTGCAGACACTTAAGCAGTGAGGAGGTCAGCTTCGAGAGCCGACAGGGCGTGTCTAGGATCCACGGATAACAAGCGGGAAAGGGGCATCCGGACTCACATCTATCTTCCACCAAAGCCTATGCTTGGGACCAGCCAGCCTGGAAGCTCCAAGAAAGAGGCTGTGCATCCAGCAGATGCCCAATCGATGTTCCTTGAATGAGATGTTTGACATCCAGTCGCTGCTCGGGATTTGGCAGTACGTGTCTCGCTCTCAAGTTCTAGATGACATGCGATCCACTCTGTTTCGTTTCCACCTCGTGGCTGCCAATGCTGGCTCCGTGTCCTCTTGTCCTTGGGAAGGTCTGCTGTGGGAGCTCGGATGGGGCACTCCACCCGGCTGGGCCTCAGCCTTCCCATCTGTAGGATGAAGGGGTTGTATTATGCAGAATGAAAGGAGCCAGACACAAAAGGTCACATACTGAACGATTCCATTTATAGGAAGTGCCCAGAATAGGCAACTCCATAGAGACAGAAAAAGCAGATTCAGTTTGCAAGGGCTGGGGGGAGGGCGTGGGTGGAGAATGGCCGCTAATGGGTCTCTCTCAGGGTCTCTCACAGGGTCTCAGAGACCTCACAGGGTCTCTCTCCGGGGAAATGGAAGTGTTTTGGAACTAGATAGAGGCGACGGTTTTACAACACTGTGAATGTACTAAATGCCACTGAACTGTATATTTTAAAATGGTTAATTTTCTCTTACGTGAATTTTACTTCCATATAAGGAAAAGGAGGGCATCTGAGGGAGACAGGTGTAATCTTCCATGGTTTATTTATTATTTTGTGTGGTCCTATTACTGTTCCCCCCCCTTGGCCAGACACCCCTCGACATCCTCATGGCACCCCATTGGAATGGAACAACGGGTCCTAACGCCTCACTTATGGGAGGGGAGGGGCTCCACGTGCAGGCTTCAACGTCAGAAGCCTCATGACTCAAGGTACAAGCGGTACAGGAAGACGGCACGCTCCAGGATGTCAGAGAAGGTGGATAGTGACGTGACCACATCACGAAATGAAGTGTGCCAGCTCTGCCGGGCAGTGTGGCATCTGGGATGGGTCAGGAGCTGTCTGTGCAGCCAGGAAGCAGGAGAAGCCTTTAGCCCTGAGGGATGCGAGCCCCAGGCAGGGGCGGGGACAAGAGTGGAGGCTATGGCAGATATTCAGACTGGCAGGAGGCTGGGAAGGGCAGTCAAAAGCACCCTAAGTATGGGGCTTCCCTGGTGGCGCAGTGGTTGAGAGTCCGCCTGCCGATGCGGGGGACGCGGGTTCGTGCCCTGGTCCGGGAGGATCCCACATGCCGCGGAGCGGCTGGGCCCGTGAGCCATGGCCGCTGAGCCTGTGCGTCCGGAGCCTGTGCTCCGCAACGGGAGAGGCCACAACAGTGAGAGGCCCGCGTACAGCAAAAAAAAAAAAAGAAGAAGCATTGTGGATTTCCCAAGTCTGCTGGTGTTGTGCACTAATGCCTGGGCAGACCTTGAGACTGGGCGGGATGTGCTGAGCATTCCGCCCCGTTGGGTGAGCGAACAGCACCGCTTTGGGAACCAAGAGACCTGTGTGGTTTGGGACTAGTTACTAAACCTCTCTGAGCATCGGTTTACTCGTCTGACATGTATATTTACCTCAAAGTGTTGTGAGCATCAGAAACTGCCCGGGCATTTGGCTGGAAGGAATGCAAAGCTTCAGTTCAAGCTGAAAGGGATACCTCTACCAGCAATAATCATGATAAAAAGTTTTTTATAACCCTCTTTGAGGGAGCTCATCCTCCCACCGTCCATCCACTGCTGACATCAGTAACCTTCCATCACCCACTCCACTCACCACCCTCAGGGACATACTCTGCACCAAAGGCAAAACACGCCAGGTGCTCTCACGGTGTGTCCAGGGGAGTAGGAAGGATGCCCCTCTGCTTTCCACTGATTTCTTTGCCCAGAGTCTGCACTGGGATCTGAATGGGGCTGCCGCCTTTCTCGCATGCTGTTCCGTCCTCCATAAATACAATTCCCGCCTTTTGTCTAGCCAAAAACTGCAAAAACTTCAAACCCCAGCACATATGTTATCTGCTCAGTGAAGTCTTCTTTACTGCCCACTATCCCGGGAGGTGGATTACATTTCTTGGCCTCCACTTGTCCTCCCCACTTGCTGCCCACTGGCTGCAAACATTATAGGCGCGGGAGCAAGAACGCTATTTCTGAGGACAGGGGCATGCACGTACACGTGGATGGATGGATGGATGGATGGACGGAGGATGGATGGGGGATGGTTGGATGGATGGAGGATGTATGGACGGGTATGTGACAGCAGCCAACAGAGAGAGTTAGTTCCTAGCTTTGGCAGCCCAGTGTCAGCCAATGGGAGTAGGTCATTCCAACCAAGGAGGCCCAAGAACATTTGGGAGCCTCTCTGTCCCCATGCAGTGTTCTCCACTCCCCTGGAGACCATGGAAACTGACTTGACAGGGTTGCAGCTTTTAAAATCCTTCTCCCATCATCAGAGCCTGCAAATAAAACAGTAGCTATGCCTTGCAACCTCAGAGGATCAAAGGCAGCTAGAGAAAAGCAAAATCAAATTACCTTGAAAGGCAACAGCCCCTGGAAGAAACATGGCTTTCAAAACTGAAAGCAGGGCTTCCCTGGCGGTGCAGTGGTTAAGAATCCACCTGCCAACACAAGGGACACAGGTTCGAGCCCTGGTCCAGGAAGATCCCACATGCTGCAGAGCAACTAAGCCCGTGCGCCACAACTACTGAGCCCACATGCCACAACTACTGAAGCCTCCACGCCTAGAGCCCATGCTCCGCAACAAGAGAAGCCACGACAATGAGAAGCCTGCGCACCGCAATGAAGAGTAGCGCCTGCTCACCGCAATTAGAGAAAGCCCGCACACAGCAACGAAGACCCAACACAGCCAAAAATTTTAAAAATAAATAAATAAATTTATGAAAACTGAAAGCAGGAAGACAGGAGACTGGCCCTCCGCCCTCCTCTCCCACTACCCCACCAGCCCCTGGAGGTTTTCAGTAGGAACTGTAAACTGGGGCATGGATGGAGAAGCCAGCCCACAGTAGGCTTTGTTTTGTTCATACTGTGCTTTTTAATTTAAAATTTGGGGTGCGAACACCTAAAATCATATACTTTCATGCAAAAATCCAGCTTGTATGTCTGGCTCCTCTAGAGTAACCAGCTGCTCTGGGTGACCCCAGGCTCTCTCCCCTGTGACAGCAATAACCTGGAGCTGAGCAGTCTCTGCCTCTGGACCCAGCATTCTCCAGGTGACCCCAGACCCAGCCCCCTGTACCTGCCTGACCCTGGAAGACAAGTGAATATGTACCCTTTCTACTCATGGCGGACCCTGCTTCCCTCCAAGTGCACATTTCTGAAGCTCCCAAATGTCCAGGGTTTGAAGGACTCTTCCTGGCCTTTCACAGGATGGAGCCAGCATGATTTCTCTTCCTTCTGTCTTTTCCATGCATCTGAATTTTCTGACAGACCCCAGATCAGGATCAAGATGCTAATTCCATAATCTCTGTGACTTGTCTGTCGAAAGAGGGGAGGCCAGTGGGGGCAACTGGGGTGCATCCCTGTCCCGTTCTCAGCTGATGCTGGGTCAGGGAGTATGGGGCCAAGTTTTCCTCTCGCCAGCTGAAGGAACAGACAGGAAACTGACAAGGGCCTCACCTAGCCACTACGTGCCCGGTGGCTCCCACAACTCGTGGGCTACCTTCCCTGCCAGCCAAGACCCACCAACTCTGGACTCTGTTGGTGCAAGACTGGCTGACGGGGACTTCCCTGGTGGCGGAGTGGTTAAGAATCCATCTGCCAATGCAGGGGACGCGGGTTCGAGCCCTGATCCGGGAAGATCTCACATGCCGCAGAACAACTAAGCCCGTGTGCCACAACTACTGAAGCCCGCGCTCCTAGAGCCCGTGCTCCGCAAGAAGAGAAGCCACCGCAAAGAGAAGCCCACGCACCACAACGGATTAGCCCCCATTCGCTGCAACTAGAGAAAGCCTGCGCACAGCAATGAAGACCCAACGCAGCCAAAAAGAAAAAAAAAAAAAAAAGAAAGAAAGGTTGCCAGGAAGAGGGAGGGGGAGAGAAAAGAGAGGAACGGGCAGGCATCCTACCTGTTTGCACTTGGATACGCAGTGGGGTTTGTGTGCGAAGAGGAGAGCGGGCGAGGGCTATTTGTTCTGGGAATGGTTAATCCTTCTTCAAATTTATATCCTGAATCTTCTCTGCAACTGTGTCAATGAAGAGTCCGCAGCATCGCTCCATACAGCTGGGCCTGACTCAGGAGTAACTGACTCCTGCCCGAGGGGTTCTGAGCACGGGGTCCCCATCCCAAACACTCACGCCTCTAGGAACCCCTGGAGCCTCTGACTTCCGGGAAGGTGGGCCCAGGGACAGGAACACGTGAACGCCCCATGGGACTGCACTTTGTAATGAGCGATGCTGTGCAGGCTGTGTCCCCACTCACTGTGTAAAGCAGTCACGTTACACGGCTCTGTGTGGGAAGCTTGTTTTGTTCAGTTTGCAAGTATTTATTGTTTAAATAAGTTCCGGTGTTGGCTGGGAGTTGAGTAATCTCAAGCTAAGTTGAAGCAGTGCAGACCATGCGGACAGTTAAGTACCAACCTTCAGGGGTGTGGCTGCCTGACGCAGGCTCTATGCAGAGGCAGGAAAGGAGGAAGGAGAGCCCAGGGCACCCTCCCAAAGCGGCCACGATACTAACTGGAAAAGAGCTTCCACAGGGTCCCCCCAGTGTGTACTGGTTCATGTTTAACAGCCAGCTCTCCTTGGAGACAAAAAAAATCCCTGATCTGTAACATTTGCCAATGCCCATACTGTAAATACTCCCGCCGTGGCCGATTTCAAGCTACCGATGTGAAGTTACTAATCTGTGCGAGGCAGCTCCAGCACATCTCCGAAGTAGCTTGTGTGCTACCCTGAGTTTTGTTCTCTTTTCTGTTGAGTTGCAAACAGAAGAAATAGAAAATTTGGAAGGAAAAGCAGGATCTTTAAACAAAAAAACAATAAACAGACAGCAAAAACTTTTGTCTCCTAGTGAAAGGGCAAGAGGACTGGCCAGAGGCCAAATGCAAACACAAAACTACCCTTGAGGGCTTCCCTGGTGGCGCAGTGGTTGAGAGTCCGCCTGCCGATGCAGGGGACGCGGGTTCGTGCCCCGGTCCGGGAAGATCCCACATGCCGCGGAGCGGCTGCGCCCGTGAGCCATGGCCGCTGAGCCTGCGCGTCCGGAGCCTGTGCTCCGCAACGGGAGAGGTCACGACAGTGAGAGGCCCGCGTACCGCAAAAAAAAAAACTACCCTTGAGCCCCCAGACCTCCCGGCCTAAATCCAGCCAGGCCCCCACTGGGGGTACCAGGCAGAGAGAAGTCAAGGCTGCTCAAGCCCTCCAGGCACAGGTAGGGGGTGGGCTAAGGCATAGGGATCTATTGTAAGGAGGAATCCAAAGCTGCTGCTGGGCCTGAAGAATGGGGGGAGCTTGGTGTCCTCATCTGTAAATGGCATGATCGTAGCGCACCCTGCAGAGAGGTGTCGACAGAATTAAATGAACCGGGCTTCCCTGGTGGCGCAGTGGTTGAGAGTCCGCCTGCCGATGCAGGGGACGCAGGTTCGTGCCCCGGTCCGGGAAGATCCCACGTGCCGCGGAGCGGCTGGGCCCATGAGCCATGGCTGCTGAGCCTGCGCGTCCGGAGCCTCTGCTCCGCAGCAGGAGAGGCCACAACGGTGAGAGGCCCGCGTACCACAAAAAAAAAAAAAAAAAAGAATTAAATGAACTAATGCATTGAAGGCTTGGCTGATGCCTAGCACACAGGATGCACCCACTCACTGTCATCCAATGATGCCAGGGGTGAGGACCGGTGAGGAGTCACTGGAAAGCGTGGCTCTGGTGGATGAGAAACGTCCCTAAATCACTGGGCCGCTCAGCGGGGGCATCCACCCAGTGTTTGGAGAGTTTGTCTCCAGCCAGAAGTGCAGGGTGGGAATCAGGGGAGCTTTACTGAGATGGGAGGACGGAACGACTGAGGCAATACACAGCGGGGATGGGAAGGGACGAGAATTATCTAGCTGAACCAAGTCAAAGAGCAAAACCACATGGGAGAAGAGAACAGCCAGGTCCTCCGTGGGGAGTACTGAGACAGGCACTGCTGTCACCATGGCTTGGAGCAAAGTCTTGACCATTTCTTCCACTAGGATCTTCCAGGCTGAGTTCCTTGGGAAACAGTGGTCATTCATAGATAAATAGGTGTCCACCAAAAAGGGCTTCATGGCTGACACCAGCTGGCCTCCTGGCACAGCTTCTCCACCTGGTGCCCCAGTCCTTCTGAGTCTCAGCTGAGTGGCGGGGAGACCTGGACCTCTAATTCTCGCTATGGTGTTAATGGGTGCCAGTGAATTAATGCATTGCTCTTCTCAGATGTTACTCTGACATTTTAAGCTAGGTCTCTCAGTGGCCTTGCTGGAAATATCAGGGAAGGTGAAGCTCTGTGACAGAGACCTATTTGGGGCAGAGTCTTTCTGATTCTTCAAATTATAACACCCAGGTAGGTGGTCGTGTTGCCCACACAGAAGGCTCTCTCTCTCTTTCTCTCCTTCCCTCCCTTCATCTCCTTCCCCCCACTGCCCACTGCTTTCTTTCCTCCCCTTTCTGAAATTGAGGAATCCCCAGGGACAAGAGGTCCCCTGCAGAAGACTGAATTTGCAATGTGGGTGGAGGGATTGGACCTGGAGCAGAAGGGCTTGGGGACTGCCAGGCTCCTCAAATTGGACGATGCTGGCAGAATTGTCATGAACAGCCAATCCTATGTCCTCAGGTGCCCCATCTCTGTGGGACTGGTGTCCTCCTTCTTCCTGGGGGCAGGGCAGTGCTTCCAAAAGTTCTCAGGTCCATCATGGCCTCTCCTGGTTTGATTTTTATCCCACCGTCTTGCTGTGGGCCCCAAGCCCAGGCCCAAGGAGAATTCCTTCCTGCCTTCAATGCAGACCCCGAAGAACTGAGGACAGCAACCCCACCCCAGGTCTTCAGATGACCCGAGGAGGCTGGGCTTCCTCCAGCCCATCCCCTGCCCTCCAGAGCCTGCCAGTAGCCCGCCTGCCAGACCGTCCTCATCCCCCAGAGACTGGCCTTCAGCGAGGGTAGAGTCAGCCCAGCCCAGTCATCTTGTTAGCGTGATTCAGTGCTAAATGATCTGCTTAAATGGGGCTTTCTGCGGCCCAGCTGGAGGTGATCAGCTCCAGCGAGGAATTTGTTTTACCTCAAACTGGGATGTTTAACCCCAGGAAGAAAAAAAAAAAGTCCCTGCTCACTCCCTTCCCCTGATTCATTCCTTTTGCTGCCTGTGGATGGGCTGAGCTGAGCTGACGGACCATTTGCCGTAACGGTTGGATGGAGCCAGATTTTGTAACGGGAAATGGCATCTCTCGTGGCCACTTAAGAGAAAGTAAAACATGAACAAGGCAGGGGCTGGGAATCTCCCCCCCGTGTGGAGGCATCGGGCCCGCAGGTCGTGATGGGGGACCAGCCTCCCCATGGAGGCACTGATCACGGGCCAGCCTCCGTCCAGGCAGCCTCTACCATCCCAGAGACACACCCCAGAAAGCTAGGTGTGGGGTGGGGGCGGCAGAGGGGCCTTGAGATCAAAGAGTTTGTCCCACGCCGTGGGATCCGGGTTTGGTTCTGGCCCAGCCATTTACCAGCTACGTGGCCTTGAGCGAGTGACTCATTCCCTCGGAGCCATAGGATCCTGGTCTATAAAATGGGGATAATAGAACTTCCCACACAGCATGGTTTTGAGAATGAAGTGAGGTGCCCAGCACAGAAGCTGGCGTTTGACAGGAGCTTAGGAGATGGACGCTGGTGAAAATGGGTTGGAAGAGAACTCATCCTGGACGTTCTCATGGCCTGTGACCCAGCCACCCCATTCCGGAGTATCCACCAAGGGAACACCTTGCACCCACAGATCCAGAGACATGTACAAAAATATTCATAGCAACTTACATGCAGTAGCAAAATGCTGGTCCCAATGTCCATTGATAGGAGAAGAGATAAATAAATTACACCGTATTCGTGCACCTTTTACAGAGCAGGGACTCCTGCGTGCCGTGCCCTGAGTGAATCCTTTAAAAGGGATCCTGAGCGGGCTTCCCTGGTGGCGCAGTGGTTGAGAGTCCACCTGCCGATGCAGGGGACACGGGTTCGTGCCCCGGTCCGGGAAGATCCCACATGCCGCGGAGCAGCTGGGCCCGTGAGCCATGGTCGCTGAGCCTGCGCGTCCGGAGCCTTGTGCTCCGCAATGGGAGAGGCCGCAACAGTGAGCGGCCCGGTACCGAAAAAAAAAAAAGGATACTGAGCTAAAACAAAACAAGACTCTGACCAGAACATGCACTCTATCTTTTTAAGAAAACTGAAAAACAAGCACAATGAATATCACAATGTTGATGAGCGTACATGTAAGGATAACACCTTTTCTGAAAAGGCCAGGAATGGTAAACACAGAATCCCTGTCTATTAGGTTTACTACTTACAAGAGTATACGACAGATTCCTTTCCATGTATCAAAATCATTTTTTTCAAGACAATGAGAAAAGATGTACTGAGCCTGAGCTCTAGAGCCCTCGAGCCACAACTACTGAGCCTGTGCGCCACAACTACTGAAGCCCGCATTCCTAGAGCCCGTGCTCCGCAACAAGAGGAGCCACCACAATAAGAAGCCCACCGCCCAACAAGAGAAGCACCGCAATGAAGAGTAGCACCCACTCGCCGCGACTAGAGAAAGCCTGTGCGCAGCAACGAAGACCCAACGCAGTCCAAAATAAATAAATAAATAAATAAATGTTTAAAAAAATTATTAAAAAAAAAAAGTTCATCCTGGCTTGCAAATGAGGGAGCGGGCAGGAGCAGATGGGACTTGCGCTCTCTGCTGATGGGAACCAGGAAGGTCCAACCACTTTGGAAAACAGTTTGGTCGTTTCTCATAGAGTTTAACACACACACACCTTATGACCCAGCGAGTCCGTTTCTCAACATTTATCCAAGAGAAGAGAAAACATATGTTCTTACAGAGACCTGTGGGCAAATAGTCACAGCAGCTTTATTCATTACAGCCCCAAATTGGAGCCAACCCCCCGTCCATCAACAGGTCAAGGGATAAACAGACAGACCTCTCCATGCAATGCGATGCTACTCATCGATAAAAAACGCGAGCTGCTGATACAGCCACACGACAATGGATGTCCAAACCCTTATGCCGAGTGAACAGAGACAGACCCAAAGGGCTACATGCTGTATGATTCCATTTACAGGAAATTCTAAAAGAGGCAAAACTTTAGAATGAGACCGCATCAGTGTAGTCAGGGTGGACTCCCCAGGATGGGAAAGCGAGTGAGGTCCCTTTAGTCTGGATCCAGAGGCCCAGGGTGATCCCGGCTGACATCCAAGCCCATCCCTCTCGGGTCCAAGGTCCCCCAGGCTTTGTTCCACCAGGAGACCCCAGGGGTTTTCCTTCTCACTGAAGCTACCAGTCTCCCACCCCC